CGCCCTTCTGACCGTATCCCCGTCGTCCCGCAACGCCTCTATGTGTCGTAAACGCCTCCGCTCTCGGGATTTGCCTGTCTGTCGGTCTGTTGTCCGTTGTGTTGTCTGTTGGATCTGTCGGAATTGTTGTTGTGTCCCCCCCTTATTCGCCCTAATTTTTTATGCACGACCCCACAGCTGCCGTTTACCGAATATATTTTATCCTTCATTCGTTAATCTAGTCGCGCGGCAAAAGCTTGGCTTAAAACCGGAACATACCGTTTTGCGGCCACGCGACGCATCTTCCCATTTTGAAGTTGTGCACCACTAAATTTTCGGTTTGTTTTAGGATCCAGCCGGTGACAGTAGTAGAGAAAAAAGATCGTTAGATAGCAGAGAGACATAGAGAAAGCTAGAGAAAGCAAACGACCCACATGACCGTCGCCTGGGTGCCTCGGCCGATGGAGTGGTAGTGATCAAGGGAATGTCGGCCCTTCGATAGTGTTTATCCTCCTGAAAAACCGGGCCTTTTGGCCGTACCTTATGTCCTTTTGTATAATTTGTATTTTCACGACTAATGCTTTCAAACGCTTTCATGATGCCAAGAAAATCTTAACTCGGTGTTTTTCATTATTTTTCATTTGACGTCCGAATCCTCGAAACACCAACAAAAAATAAATTTCCGTTACTCGATAAAACGCCAGGCTTACCACATCCGGGGAATAATTGTCAGGCATTGTCATATGGACCTGGTTCAACAGTCCCGTTGGTTGGTCTTGTTGCACTGGCAAGTGCACCACCACGCTTCTCTTCCCGACAGACATGGACATTTTCTGAGGGTTCGGATGATGTAAACAGGAGGTACGTATGGAAGGAACAGTTCTTTACAAATTTTACGAGTAACGTTAGCGTCTTCGAAAGTGATAAGCGGCTAACCGAGTTTAAAAAATCGAACAGTGCCCTTTGTGGCTTGGCACAATTTTCCGTACTTTTTTGGTGGCTTGTAAAAAGAATGGTCGAATTAGGCGCGTTGTACCGTTTTGAAAGTTTAGAAAGTTAGTTTTCGGGGTTTAAACGGGCTCTCGCCAAAGTTCCGAACTGCGCAGAATAATTTCGGAGTTCCCTTAGCCAAACGGACTTTATAACTTTAGCGCGTTTTGAATGGAACTTTTTAAGCTTTCAAAACTGTACAATGTTACCACGTCGACCATTCTCGTTCACAAGGTCGAAAAACCCGTGCCAAGCTTCGTTAATGTCGCTCGCAAACAGCGTTTTTAATTTGTGGCTCGATATGACTGGAAAATATGGTGCAAAGCCACGCAAACATTAAGAAGGGAAAAGATGAAAATCCAAATAGTTGCACAGAAGATCCAAAATTTCCTGGCCAAAGCAGAAATGCAAAATGAACAACAGCCTATCGAAAAGGCTGTTACCCGTGTTGCGATAAGGAATCGTGGAGCGGGCGCTCTTTCCCTTTGCCAGCCGGCAATTCCTTGTGCAAGACATTTCTGGTAGGACGTAATCGATGCACGGCGGACTGTGTTTTGAGCGCCACTTCCAAATTGTAAATTCAGGCCAGAATGCAATGGAAAAAGCGAGCAAATATGTTTAAATGAAAAAAGTGTTGCAGCTAATTTTTTCAATCCTACTATCCTACTATATATAAAAAAATAGTGTCTGTGTGTGTGTGTGTGTGTGTGTGTGTGTGTGTGTGTATATTTGCATGCACTTCCGTTTGGATGTTCCGCACCTACAGCCTTAGGGAAGCATTTTTTCGGTAGGGAAGAAACGTCATAGGGTAAAGAAGGGGCCGGAATCGACTGCACACACATAAAAGTTTTGAAAAATTGTTATTTTCTATATTAAAATTAGGTTTTTGTAAAGTTTTCGGCCAACCTCTTTGTTAGGAAGCGATTAGCATACGGCGGAAGTGGAAATGGTTTGTAAAAAGGAAGAGAGGGCGCGCTTTTCATTTTTTGGTGAGCGGTTTTTAGCAAGAATTATGCTAAGTCTTTAACTTCATCGATCCTAGACGGGGGCCAGGGTTGAAAAGCCGCGAAGCGGTTTTTCAACCCTGGTGTATCTTTAAAGCTGTTACGCTAGGTGGAATTTGGCATTTCAATAAGCAACCGTAAAGTAAGACCATGGTATTCATGGTGATTGGTATACTGGCAGCTCTCAAAGTATTATGCCAAATTAGAGGCTCTATGATTCTTATCGTTTTCAGATTTGAAATGCCGCCAGAAAAATACAACGGCCACGATTTTCCTTGCCGGCCCAGCCATTTCCTGGCGCATGAGAAATCGGGTTACGGTAAATTGCTCGCATAAGGAATCGCTACGTCTCACTACCAATGAAGATAGCTGCCCTCTCAAACAGGTTTAGAGGGCCGCAATTGTTTTATTCTATTTCAAAATTGCTTGAAAATTTTGCTGCAGATTGCACGTTCGCATAGCTACACCTCTCTGAAAGTCTCGATCGAAAATTAAAGGGCCAGGCAGCGCCATAAAAAGATGGAACTTCATCACTCAATAGCTGCCATGAATTTTTGCTTGATGCCCATTAAATGTTGTAAAATACAAGCCACAAATAAATACGATAGTTGAACAAAGAAAAACAGGCAAATTAAGTCCAGGTATCATCGTGTACAGGGTGTCCCAAAAAAAAAGACCCCCCAAAAATTTGAGCCAGAGGGCACCCTACGGAGCTGAAAATTTGCACAGAGGTAGCGAAGGCAATTTTCTATGAACAAGGAAAGTTTCAGCCCGATCGGCCAGCGGGTTTTAAAGTTATAGCGAAAATACTTTTCATTTTTAATTTAATATGGGGATCTTTGAAATTTGCATCAAAGATATGCGTTATTCTTGCATTTACGAGCCGATTTTGCATAAATTTCGCTGAAAAGTGCCATTTTCTTGATGGAGCTTTTGGAAAACGATTGCTCATGTAGCGAGAAAATGATCAGCAAGAACGATGAATACCAGACCTCATGGCGGAAACTATCGTTGAACGCTTGAGCTTGGCTTAAACTTCAGCGTAAGCACCAACATAAGCCCAAATCTAAACTTCAACACTGTTTTCGAGCTCGTCGAACTCTGTTTTCGGGCCGACGAAGCTCAAATTGCCAAAATGTACAATAAGACGTGATTTGGAACGATAAAACAGTTGTTTTAACACTCTTTTTATTCTTCATACGCAATCGTTTTCCAAAAGCTCCATCAAGAAAATGGCATTTTTAAGCGAAATTTATGCAAAATCGGCTCGTAAATCCAAGAATAACGCATATCTTTGATGCAAATTTCAAAGATCCCCATATTAAATTAAAAATGAAAAGTATTTTCGCTATAACTTTAAAACCCGCTGGCCGATCGGGCTGTAACTTTCCTTGTTCATAGAAAATTGCCTTCGCTACCTCTGTGCAAATTTTCAGCTCCGTAGGTGCCCTCTGGCTCAAATTTTTGGGGGGGTCTTTTTTTTTGGGACACCCTGTAGTTATTCCATCGGCCGTAATCGGCCTTAGTTGGATCATAATCTTAATTTGATCTCAAAAAATGCAACCGGAAATTTTGCTAGCGTAATCAGAATGCAATTAGCATTTAACCAGGATTGAAAAACCGCTTCGCGGCTTTTCAACCCTGGCCCCGTCTTCTCCAATGATATTCTTGGCTTTGCATAATTTTTCCGGATCGGATGACGAAAAATGAAAAATGCTCTTGCCGTCCCTTTATATAGGCTACCGCGACTTCCGGTGCATGCTAATTTCATCCTAACAAATTGGGGTGTCCGATTTTCCATGAAAAACTTAATTTTAATGTCGAAAACATCATATTTTGTAAGATCTGATATGTGTGCAGTCATCTCCAGCCCATTACGCACCTAATGACGTATCGAACATACCCCTAAGTACTTCCCTTCTTGAGATACTACTGGAACACGCTGACGGAAGTTGCATGCAAATGCACACAAACACACAGACACTATTTTTTTATATATAGCACCAGGGTTGAAAAACCGCTTCGCGGCTTTTCAACCCTGGCCCCGTCTTCTCCAATGACATTCTTGGCTTTGCATAATCTTCCCGGATTCGGATGACGAAAATGAAAAATGCTCTTGCCGTCCCTTTATATAGGCTACCGCGACTTCCGGTGCATGCTAATTTTTTCCGAACAAATTGGGGTGTCCGATTTTCCATGAAAAACTTAATTTTAATGTCGAAAACATCATATTTTGTAAGATCTGATATGTGTGCAGTCATCTCCAGCCCATTACGCACCTAATGACGTATCGAACATACCCCTAAGTACTTCCCTTCTTGAGATACTACTGGAACACGCTGACGGAAGTTGCATGCAAATGCACACACACACACAGGAACTATTTTTTTATATATAGTAGGATTTAATATTCATGCCATTGTTTGCGCACTGCGAGCAGGCGCCAATCTCTTGTGCAAGGCATGGCCGGCCGGAATCAATGTTGAAACAGAACAAACAACAAAACAAACAGACAAATTAGGCCAAATCTTTTCCAGTTAAAAACTAAAAACGTCTTGGAGGAGGTCAAGAAACGGATCACTTCCTGGCCGCGCCATTTTGTGGTACAAGCAAAAACGAGTTGTGCTGAAAGCAACAAAAAAATCGCAATTGGTGTCTAGAATCTTGTACCTAATGCCCTATTACACCTCGTGCCTAAAAGTGCCGGGTTCCCAAAGAAGCAACAAACTAAAAAATGTACGGTTTTCAGTCGCGAAGCATAATTTCCACTGTTTATTGCAAATTCGAATAACACACGACGACTATTTGAAGACAAGCACATACGCTGGGTGGATGGAAGGGCACAGGCAGACTTTTGAGAACTGTTTTTCAATCACAAATACGACACACCGAGACAGAGAATAGTAAAAACATCACATCTCGGCGATAGTCCAAAATTACAACGCAAAACCCTAAATAAGACAACACAGTACATTGTGAAGAAAAAGTTAAGGTAGATAATGGGCGGCGGCGGCTTCTGGACGTTCAGATGTGGCTCTTCACGTTGCGCACCGTCTCGTCGAACGCCTTGGCGACGTATCTGGAAAAGAAAGTGGGTTCAAGGAAATGGGAAACGGGCTTACTCGACGTTTTTCGTGTTAAGCCCGCAGAGGTTGATGCGACCGTCCTTGAGGAGGAAGACCTTGTGCTTCTCGACAAGGTGGTTGACTTGGTCAGCTGAAAATTGATCATAATAGTGCTGGACTGTTAGTGGGGGGTGTAGCAGGGGCAAAACTAATTTTTCCCAGCATTCCCATACAACCAGATACCGAAATGTAGGCCCTTTTTATAGCAATTTATACGATTTTTAAGATAAAACTCATTAAAAAATTTTCGATTTTGGTAAAAATGTATGAAAAATGGCCGAAAAAGGCTCAAATCTTCGCATTTAGAAAACCAAAAAATTTGTATAACCGTTTGACAAACAGGAGCTCATAAAACATTGGAAAATCCCTTATATATTAGCAGAAAGAACAAAAATTCGTCTCCCCCGCTAATAGTCCAGTACCATCATAATAATGTCAAAAAGCTAAAGAAATCACCTGTCAATCCGGTGTAGGAGAACATGCCGATCTGCTGGGTGATGTGGTCCCACGTGCCGGGCGTGCCGAGCTTCTCGAGGTGTTCGCGGAGGGCGGCGCGCATCTCGCGGATTCGGCTGGACATCGTCTAGAGAAAAATAGCTTCAAACCTGGTAAAAAAATAGATACCTTAATCGCATCGTGCCACTGTTGGCAAAGGACCGGGTCGGAGAGCACCTTGTGTACAACCTAAACGACAAATTTAGACAAAATAACGCTTGAACGACCTTGGCACCATGGGCGGGCGGGTTCGACCAGTTGGCACGGATGATGAGCTGCATCTGGGATTTGAACGACGGGATGACGGCCTTGTCCTTGACGATGATGGTCAGGTGGCCGACGCGTTCGTCTAAAAAAATCAGAATTTAACAGACTAACGCTAAAACGTACTGTACAGGCCGAAATTCTTGGCGAACGACTGGGCGATGACCATCTCGAGGCCCTGGTCGATGAAGTAGCGGATGGCCCACGCGTCGGCGTCCGGGTCGCCGGACGCGAACCCTTGGTAGGCAATATCGAAGAAGGTGAACAGGTTCTTTCTCTAAAAATTGAGGTTTTAGAAAAAAAAAGAACTCGTACCTTCATGACCTCGCAGATCTGCTTCCACTGCTCCTGCGTGGGGTCCATGCCGGTGGGGTTGTGGGCGCAGCCGTGGAGGATGATCACCGACTTCGGGGGCGCCGCCTCGAGGTCCTAAAAAAGTTAAAATGTGTTTAAAAACTGTGATTTCGTATTTTCAAAGTTTTCTTGAGCGACTAAACTTTTTAGTTTAACTAGAAACTAGTAGAAACTAGAAACCAACCTTCAACAAATTCTCAATGTCGACGCGCTTGCTGACGGGATCCCAGTAGGTGTACTGGCCGAGCTGGGTGAAGCCGGCGTTGGTGAAGACGAGCCCGTGGTTGCCCCTAAAAACCAGATCATTGAAAAGGAACGAAAACTATACCATGTCGGGTTGCTGTAGTATCCAGTCTTGAGCCCAAGGACGCGGGCCAAGAATTCTGCGCCAGCGCGCAGCGAGCCGGTGCCCGAGAGGCATTGCACGCCGATAACCTAAGAAAATGTAGGCATAAATTGTAGAAAAACCAAAAAATACCCTATCCTCCTTGATGGCTGGCGAGTCGGCGCCGAGGACGAGCTTGGTGGCCTCCTTGGAGAAGGGCTCGAATCCGAGCACCGGCAGGTATTCGTGGTTGAGCGTCTGGTCGGCGGCGAGGGCGGCCTCGGCGGTGCGGACGACGGGCAGCACCCAGGGTTTCGCCTCTTCGGTGCGGTAGGCTAAACACGTAGAAATTATAAATAAAGCATTCCGTTTAAGACAGTTTAAAAAATAGACAAAAAGAAAAGGTTTGCTAAAGCTTCAAATTTTTACAGTTTTCAATGTACGCATTTTTCTGCTTATTCGCACCTTGAAACTTCATAGCTTTTTTTATTCAAGCCGTTTCGCAGATTCTACAAAATGTCTTTACAAATTGTAATCGAAACTCTAATTTTAGGTCAAAAACTTGGATAAACCACTTTAAAAAGATCAAAACATGAAATTAGCTATTGGAATAGATATAAAAATCTACAACAAAACTTTTTGAAACTACAAGAAAACCACACAGATTTCCCTCAAAACAAAAACCCACCTCCAATCGTCAAGTTGACCTTGTTGGGATCGGTCTCCTGCAGGTAGAGGTTGTTCATGTGGAACACCTCGATCGGGGCGGCCATCGGGATCCCGTCGAAGAAGGACATGTGGGCCGTCTCAGCTGCTGCGGGCCCTAAATAAAGCTGATAGTTATCTCGAGAACCACGTGGAGATAATCGAAAAATTATGTAATCAGCAGTGTGGGTCCAAAATTGAGGCCAAACCCTCTAGAAACGGGCCGTTTTCGACGCCAAATGATATCAAGGTGCGAGAATCACAGCAGCAGCACGTGGATGCGCGCGTCAGCGAGGAGCAAGATAAAAAGAAACATCAAAGTCTTGGGGGATGAGCGACTCCTGGGTCAAAATAGCCTAAATTAGTCGGGTGGGGTGACGGGGCGGGGCGCTATCAGGGCTTGATAAAATGCCAAGAAGAACGGAGAAAAGCCCAGCCGGGGGGGGGGGGGGCCCCCCCCCCCCCCAGGGGGCCCCCCCCCCCCCCCCCCCCCCCCCACCTTTTGAGAATTATCGAAATGAGTAGGTTCTTCGCTACTATCAATTTCAAACATTTGGGCAAGTTATAGTCTTGGAAGATTAACTGTGCACTAATGATAAAACTGGAAATCGAAAATTTGGTTTTTAAAAGGTTGTTTTCCTAAAATTTCCCAATTTCTGAGGTTTTACAGCTATTATTCTTTATCTTTTAATTCTTTTCTGGAATTTCTATGCTTCTAAGTAGAGGGAATTCTTTATTCGTTTTACTTTTTAGAAACCACGCCCCGGAAATTAACCAAAATTCGTGCAAATATTACAACTTTAAATAACCGATAATTAATTCCCGTTTTGACAATGTTGTCGACACCAAGACAGCGCGTTTGACCTATGGATTCGAGGTGTAAACTGCCCAAAACATGGGGGAGTGTTCCAATTGTGGAAAACTCCCCGCACGATGCGCCAGATTTTCGATCTGTTATCTTGGTGGGCGAGTGCTTGGCGCGATAGCATCGAATTCGATCGTTTTCCTGGTTGCTAGACTCCAATTCGATGAAAGAATTAACGAAATTGGGGCTAGATCGCCGTTGAAATTACTTCGATACGGAATTGTAAATTATTACACAAGTTTCAAGGACTGGGCATGATTTGAGCAGTTAAAAAAACTCGCGAAAGGATCAAAAGTAGTAAAATCATACTCAAAACCTCAAAAACTGAACACGATCATTCGTTTGGGCAGCTGCTTGTTTACCCGCAGGGACAAGGCAGCGAGGGGAAAATGCTCGGCGGCCAGTCGATTTTTTGCAGAAAAGAGGATGGAGAGGGGGGAAAACGCTCGACGAACCCGAGTGGTCACACACACGCAAAAAAGACGGCCCGTCAAAATGACCCTATCATCGAAAAAATATCATATTTTACCTTGTAGAAACCGACAGCCCAGGTAGACGAACATGCGCCGGCTGCTCGTGCAAAGCGTTCTGTGGAGCATTGACATTTTTTATTCGAAAAAGTTTATTCTGTGCATAAGATTCAAAGAATGAAAAAAGATTCGTGGGATGTTAATTTACATTACGGGCACATTGCAGGACGGGCGGGAAGTTGCCTGAAAGTGGGAATTAGTAGAAAGTATCAAGTAAACAATTTAGCACAATTTTGAAGCCTCCTGGTTTTCAAAATAGCTTTGTAAAGATAGGAAAACGCGGATAGCTTACATCCATCTCATGCCACTTCAATTCGGCCGGGAATTCGACGCGTATGAAGGTGTCGGTGAATTTCATTCCGCGGCAGTCCTCGGGCTCGTCCTAAATGTCGAAGCATTAAAGGTTAAACGTTTTACAAAATACTATGGATCGCAATTGAAAAATTTAAACTCACCGATAGCGTGCTCCCCTCGCTCTTGACGGTCAAGTACCTGATGCCACTCGTATAGCCTTCAAATTCGACGCATTCCGTAGTCCATGGCTGTTCTAAAATCACGGTTTTAAGTAGCGTTTAAAGCAAAACTGTTACGATTAAAGGTAATGGAAAAGGAAACACTCACCTGACCGCTTTTCGTATTCGGCTGAAAAGCGCTTGTGTCGTTCTTGCTTTATCATGTCTGGAATCCGGGGGGCCACTTCGCCGGCGATTCGGAGCTAAAAAAAACTCTTTTAGTTTAATTTTAGAATCTTTACCTCGGCTGTAAAATCATAGGTGGCCGAGGCATCATTTCTGGGCGCATGTCGTTCGCCGACGACAATTTTTGGGCGCACGTGGTCGAGAATCCAGTCCTAAACAAAAAATAGAATCGTAAATACTGTAAAAACCTCAAAACCACATTCCAGGAGTTCCAGTCGAATCCGGCGCAGTCCCCAGTGACAATGCGCGGCCAAGCAGTGCGAGGGGCCCGGCGCGAAGCAGCCGACTGGCGGTTCCTCGTAGAGTAATCTATTGGCAAGTCTAATTTTCTGTAAGGGAAAGCATGCAATAAAGCTTTAGCTTTTTTCTCTCTCTCTCTCTCTTATTTTCTTTCGCTAACCTGCTGACATAAATATAGCACGCCGGGTTCCCGTTGAAATCGGGATGCTGCGGCTGGTTCACCGGAATCCTGCCGATGATATTTTTGCCATACGGGTTGGTATGGCTGGCTGATGCGATGGCGAGGAGGCGCCGATAGTCAAAGCGATGGCCCTGAAAGGTTTTCATCAAAATAAGAATTTAGCAGAGACTTTGAATAAAATTTAGTAGTAGAATTTGATAATACCAACATTTTGCTCACCAACAGCCACCACACGAGCCGGCGGCAGGTCGATGCCGTCGAAATGGCAGCGTCGTTTCCAGAACGTCTCGTCGATCAACGAGTGGAACTGTTGGCATACCTAAAAAGTTCTGAAATTCTTAGAAGCAGCAGAATCTCCTTAAAGGTCAGCTCGTCTAGGATTTTTACCGAATATAAATAGTAGCCCAACTATTGTCATTTCAAATTACATAGAAATAACGTCTCATAAAGTCTAGAAATTTAGCAAGCTGCCAAATTACCTGAACAACGCGGCCCAAATCCTGCAAGTCGACCCGGAGAAACACCTCTCGCCAGACCAGATCCGGTGTCATCGATATTCTGAAGTTTATTTATAAGGGGCAACAGAGCTGCCCCGGATACGACATTTTTATGAAATATGGCACAAATATAGCGAGAGAATCAAGGAAAAACAACCTAATAAACAAAATTTGCCTACTTCCCGCAAAAGACATTCAAAATATGACCCTTCGCGGGTGTTTTTCAAAATCTAGAGGGGGTTAGATCGATGTAAGGCGGCTTAGATCAGTAGAAAATCATATAAGGGGGTACTAGATGATTTACGGGGTTTTTTTAAGGCGGATACAAGGGCACTTTTGTACCAGCCCTGGTCCCCAGAGATGAAGTCCACTTACGCTTACGAAATTTTTTGGAAAATCCCACTTTTACTGTTTCGCGAGTAGAACAGTCCACAACCAGTTTATTCAAGCAAGACGGGAAGCAAAAAACAACCGAAACAGGAAAGTGATGAGGAACTGAAATCGGCACCGGGAATGCTGGCAACAAGATAAGGTTTCTAGCGGCAAGGGTCTAACAAAAGGCTTAAGATGGAGCTAAATAAATTTGGGGCATATGTACAAGCTATCAGGATAGCGACGAAAAAATGTTAATACATTATAGCTACAGGTTTACTCGTTTTGGGCTCGATCCGCGTGGAAGTGGCGCAGCCGTTGGAAGGGGGATGCGCAGCGAGCGGAAGGGGCCACGTACGTTGCGCGGTTGTTCGTCGGCTGGCTCGTCAACAATCTAAAATATAATATGTTAGAGCATAAAAGTGTGATCTTCCGGCTCCTACGCGTTTTTGGCCCTTTCGCATTATCGGGGAGGGGGGGGGGGCACTTTTTGCGTGGGATCCAATTTGTCAATACAAATAGAGAAAGTGTTTCTAAACTGTATTTTACAATTCATAAACGTCAAACTTTGCAACTTTTTATTAAAAATACAAAAAATCTCGATTTTTGACCAAAAATGGTCATTTTTGGCTAAAATTCGACTTTTTGAAAATTTTTGCGTCGTTCTTCTACTGGAAATATACTTTTGCCTTACTAAAAACACTAAAAATACTTCCTACTGAGTTACTAGTTTAGCTTACACAAAAAGTCGCTCCCCCCACCCCCGATAATGCGAAAGAACCCGCTTTTTCAAAATATACCCACCTCGTCCAACGCGTACCAATGAAGTTCGTCCGGGAACGCGAGTCGCAGCTTCGTGCCGGTGAATTTCATGCCAAAATTGCCGGCCCAGAACTTAAGCGAAAATTTTCAAGGATTCGAAGAAATCTCACCTGTGTATCCTTGGCGCACGAGACGACGGTGGCTTTGCGCATGCCGGCCGGATACTTCTCGAAAACGAGCGTTTCCGTTGTCCATGGCTGATCTGAAAGCATATAAAAGTTAGGTGTTTTAGAAGCGTAAATTTGACAATTTTTCAAGCGGAAAAACAATCCAAAAAGCTTAGAATACTTAAAATTTTGGTCGAAAATCGGCTATTTTTGAGATATGGTTGAGTTTGAGTTGGTTGAGAGTTGAGTTGGTTTTTTGAGAGAGGTGTTATTTTGTTTTTGTATTTTTCAATCAAAATTTGGAACATTTTACGTTTCAAAATAGTGAAAAACGGTTTAGTAACATTTCCTCGATTCATATTCGCAAACCCCGATTTTTAGAAAAAACCAAAGATTTAAAATCGAATTAAACCGACGTCTTTTTTTCTAAAGATATCAGGAAAAACCACTCACTTGCCCATTGTTCGTACTGCTTCGTCAAGACGGTCCCTCGCTTTTCGCTGGGCGCCAGATCGCCCTCAACTCGGGGCATTCCCTCGTCTTCTTTACGCATCTAAAAAACCTGTAAAAATTGTAAAAATGCAGCTTACCGCAATTTTCAGCTTATAAATTGCGCCGCAGTCGTGCCTCGGCGCGTGCAGCTCCTCGACGACAATCTTTGGCCGCAGGTAGTCCAGGATCCAGGGCTAAAATGAAATATTCCAAAAAAGCGCCAATTTCTTTACCTCCACCCCACAGCGCGTCAAGTCGACCATCAGCTGTCGGTGGCCCCATCGGAACGAGGTGGCCAGGCACGACTCCGGCATTTCCGGTGTTGCATTGTAGCCCTCGGGCGGCTCTTCATAATGGCAACTAAAATATGTATAAAAAGCTCAAAACTAATTCCCCTACCCCCTCGACTCGTAGACCATCCAATCAGAAGCTCCCGCGAAATTGGCAGCTGTCGTTTTGTTCACCGGCGCATCTCGCAGCAGATTTTCGCCGTACGGGTTGACGTTGTTCTTGTGCGCATAGTGGTAGAGGTAGAGATAATCGACGTATTTGTCCTAAAAAATTTTGTTGATGATAATTGGGTTCTTTTGGATTATCGCCGGGGAGGGGGGTTCAGGACCTAATTTTTCAAAACTAAATAGTGGAACGTTTCTAAACGGGTTTCCACTATGCCTAAAAGCGAAAACTACACATCTTTCGAAAAAATAAAAAAAAGCTTAATTTTCCACCAAAATAGGTGTTTTTACCAATCGACTTTTACAAAACTTTTAAAAGTCTTTGTCATTTTTTAGCTAAAGTATAGTTAGATCTCACTAAAAACTATTAAACCACGTCAAATTAAGTCCCTAAACATTTCTAGACTAATAAAAAAGTTCGGCCCCCCGATAATGCGAAAAAAACCGATAATTTTTGAAAATGAAGGCAGAGTTTCGTTTTTCATAAAATTCTCGATTTTTCTACTCCCCGAAACCTACATTTTTCTGCGCAAATTCGATGACGTGCTGCGGGGGTAGGTCGATGCCGTCCATCAAGCAGCGGCTTCGCCAGAATTCGGCGTCCAGGATGTGGTAGAATTGGCGGCAGACCTGAAGATAGGGTCAATTCTGGGGTAGAAGCTTACCTCCGACATATTTTTCAGCTCTTCGTAGTCGCATCGCAAAAAGATCTCGAACCAGGCAAAGTCGGGCTTCGGCTCATTGTTCGGACCGCGCGGCATCGGGTTCGTGAAGGAGAGGAAGGCATTTTTGATGCGCTCCATTTCTGAAAAAATATAGGAGTCTTCAAGAACGGAAAATCAAGAAATCAAAGAAAAATGCTCTCGAGATAGATGAAATTCTTGGGAGCGTAAATCTACACTTTAAATTACGCAATAAAACCTGTCTTGTTGTATTGTAAGGCCAGAAATCGCTGGAAAATTTCAGATTTATATCGTAGCACTGCACAACCCTAGAACCTATAAAAATTCAGCTTTTTACTTTTAATAAACCAAAATTATCCGATTTTTCCTATGAAGCAAAGGCACTCACCTTGTTTCAGCCACTCTTTTGGCTGCACCTTTCTACGAGAGCTAAGAATCTGCGCAAACATTAGGTATAGCTAGCAATGACTAATTTTGTAAGGAAAATGCGGGATATAAGAACGGGGGAGCGGCTTTTGCCAAAATGCGGACGTAGATTTGGGTGTGGGTGGGGGCAAGATGAGTCACCCCTCCGCATTTCAGGGCGTAACGCGTAAACAATTTCGCAACGCGATGCGGCCGAAGGCAGGGAGCGAAAGGGCGAAACGAGGTGCTGCTCCTGCGATGTTCGTTTTAAACTGAAATTAAAGGCCCAGTAAATCTTGTTACGGTTCTTTCACCTTATCGCGGGGCGGGGTTTCTTAGGAACCCATTTCTAAAATATAAATAGCGGAAGTGTTTCTAAACTGTGTTTTACTATTCCTAAATATATCAAATTTACAAATTTTTATGAAAAATACAAAGTATACAGATTTTTCGAAATATAGATGGCCGTTTTTGCACAAATTTCCGCTCCTTGAAAAAATTTAAAAGTTTTTAGATAGTTTATTATAGTTTTATTTTACTACAATCAGTACGGAAATCCTTCCTAGGCATTTCTTCCCCAGTCTCTCGATAATGCGTAAGCCCCCTTGCCATTTTTCCAAAGATATCCTTTTGTCCTGTTATCACTAAATATTTACAAATAACTACAAAACAAGGCTCCCATGGATAGATGCCAGCTATTTTCTGAACGTTCGTCAATTTTCCAAAGGCTTCTTTATCAAAGTTTCATACCCAACAACAACGACAAAAATGGCGATCGACCTGTATCGGCAAGCGCATGGTACCAGCATCACAAAATGAGAAAGTATCTACAAATTTTAGATTCCAAGGGGATAATGGGGGCAAAAAGTGCTTATTCCGACTCCTCTTCCTCGTCGCCATCCTCGTCGTAATCCACGTCTTCCGCGTCATAGTCGTCGCTGAAGTTGACGCTTTCCTGGTCCTCGTAATCGTCATCCTCATCGTCACTGATGAAATTGTACATGACGTGCCGGCCGAACGCGTCGTATTCGTAGTCGTCCGGCTCGGAGAGGGTCTCATCGAAGTCGACCGGGGCCGCATCCTACAAAAAAACGTGATTGCTGCCAGAAACTTGGGCGTTGTTTCGTTAGCGGGGGGTTAGCATAAGGAAATGAAATGTTTAGCCTAGCTCGTATTTTTAAAAGATATGATTTTATAGTTTCTTCAACGTTTCCGATGAATAAAAAGTCCGAAAACCATTCCATAAATTCAAAATTCGTTGCATTTCGGCCGTTTCGACAAATTTTCACTTTTTGATCCTTTTCGATTTAAAAATAGTCGAGTTCATCAGCACTAACGTTTTTTTAGATCGGCGGAAGATATATTGAAATGCTATAGTAGCTTCGACCCGTTTTCGCATACTAAAAGTTTATAAAAACCATTCTATAATCAAAGTTTACCACATTTTTTTGACAATTTGGAACGATTTTGAGCAACTTCTACGAACTCTTGGTATCTGTCGCAACTGAAGTATAGCTATATTCAAAAAAGGAAAAGGAATTCAGGGTCCTGGACGGGGGTCCAGTGGAAAATGGCCGCGAAGCGGTCTTTTTCCACTGGTAGCTATATACTAGATAAGCACGACAAAGTAGGCAAACGTTTTTCCTCATCTAAAAACCTTCAAAAAGGATAAAGTACGCGTTAACACTTTTTCTGACCTCCGTATCATTCCATTCCAACTTTTCCGCGAATACGAGTTGCAGCTCGGTGTCCGTAAACTTCATCCCGTAGTTGCCGGCCCAGAACTAGACGGAAAAGGTTATTCATTGGGGGTTTAAATCCAAATACCTGATTATCCTTGGCCGTGCTGCTGACCAACACGTTTCTCATGCCAAATCCGTAGTCGGCTATTCGGATTTCCTCAGTCTTCCAGGGCTGTTCTAAAAACAGTGTTTTCAAGACTGATTCCAATTCGTTAGCGGGGGCGGGGGGCTTTCCATTGCTTAGAAATCATCAAAACATAAAAATAAACGTTTTTTTACAGTCTACTAGCTACCTTCGATCAAAAATTTCTAAAAAGATGTCTCGTCTTGTCATAGTCGGGGTCTACAGCAATACCTCATGAATTTTGCTTTCCCGGACTAAAAATCCGCTGCTCCCCCGCCAACGGAGCAGAACTCCAAGATTTGCCATAGCTCCCGTAAAACAAGAATTTCCTTACTTGCCCATTGCGGATAGTGGGTCTCCCTGATGTCACCCCGGGAAGCGTCGGGCTTACCAAGCCACCGTACCAGCGTGTGCGGATAGATTTCGTCTTCCTTCCGAACCTGGAAGCTCGTAATTTCTATTTTGAAAACTGCCATACCTGCGCTGCAAAATTGTACACAGCTGAACAGTCGAATCGTGGTGCGTGCCGTTCGCGTGCAACGATTGCGGGCCGGAACTTGTCGAGCACCCAGGGCTGAATTCACGTTTCTATCGTCAATTAGAAACTCGTACCTCAATACCAGCTTTTTCTAGGTTTACTAAAATGCTTCTGAATCCGCGTATGAAGCTGGTCGCCAGCGCCTCGGTCGGCATTTCCGGCGTGGCATTGTAGCCAACCGGCGGGGACTCATATGTGCAACTAAAAAAGTGTTAGTAAAGGTTTTTTATTAAGAACGATATTAATAAAATTGAAGGATCTCTGGCATTAACGGGGGCCTAGCTTTTGCATAAGTCTAGAAATGACCAGGAACTTAATAAGAAATATTTCGCAACGTTTTTAGCAAAATACAACTATATTTAAACTCAAAACACTATCAAAAACCTTGAAAACTTTGGAAAGTCGAAATTTTTAGCAAAAATCGGCGATTTTCGGCCGAAAAATGTAGATTCTGACATTTTTGTAAGTTTTTACGGGTAGGTATGGAAAAAACGTGGCACTTATCAAGTTGGGGGGGCCACTTTGGTTTTCGACTTTTTGAGTCTTTCTAGGCTAGTTTTTCGTGCTGGTTTCTGATATAACAAAATCAGCGTAGTAAAACACAATTATCTAAACGTTTTTAAGATTTAGAAATGCTTACACCCAATTTGAGCCTAAATTTAAGGCTTCGTGCCACCCGGGGCCTAGTCGCTTCGGATGGGTGCGAGCTCGTACAGGGTTTCGAAATCGGGGCGCCCGAGGAGCGCGTAGCGCCCAGGCGCCCTGATTTCGAAAGAGTGGAGCGGCAGCCCATCCGAAGCGACGGCCCACCTTGCCTGACAATGCGGCAAGTCTAAAATTGCGCATAAGTGCACCTTTTATTAATAAATTTTTACACCGTTTTTCTGGATAAACCCAACCGTTTCGCATGCTGTTGCGGCTCTATTTGCACTCAGCGTAAAAAACTACCCCAGAAAGAGTCGAAAAAGCGATAAAAAAGTGTCTCCTAATATGTACCCAAAGTGGCCCCCCAACTTGATAAGTACCAAAAACGTTTAGAAATGCTGCCGCTATTTTGTATTTGCAAATTGGATTCTGAAAAAAGCCCCCCGATAATGTGAAAGAACCAAACCGCAATCGCAAAAGCTTACTTTCTAGTGTGGTATCGCATCCAATGCTCCCCGTAGGCTTCGGCTACAGCCGGGTTGACGGGCACATCCCTCAGAATATTCTGGCCGTACGGATCGACGCCGCCGGTGTCGGCGCAACTGTAGAGGTAGCGGTAGTCGAAATCATGGCCCTGAAAAAAAGGCATAAATTCCTGGGCAGTTTACTCCCGTACCTTGATATGAGCGAGTTTCACTGCGTGCGTCGGTGGCAAGGTGATTCCGTCGCGTTCGCAGTGGTCCCTCCAAAATCCGTTGTCATCGGTGATCCTCGTGAATTGGCTGCACGCCTAAAAATAAAATGTTGTTCGAATTTATAACTCGAAAATGACCAAAATTCACTAGAAAAAATCTTTTAACGCCCACTTTCTCAGCCTCGTTGATCGTCTTGTAATTGCAGCGCTGGAAGACTTCGTACCACACCACGTCGGGCCAATCGTCGCCGGTGGGGCCGGCTGGCGTAGAAACGGACGGCTCCATGAGCTAAATAAAATTGTCAATGCTTGGTCTGAATGGAAAAGACGAGACAAAGAACGTAAAAAATAAATGAGGCTCCAGACGACAAAGTTCGCGACAAATGCCTGCTTTTGATTGTTATTATGAGCTTTATCTTGGCCCAAAGGAGAGGACTTTTTGAACCACGACAGCTACGACAAGTGTCAAACATCGCAACCTATTTTCCTTACATCATCGCGGGCGGGCTAGCCGCTGGCTAACTAGACCAAATGATTGGTCAGAATTCAAAGCGCTGATACTTTAAATTACTATTACGATGGGCATTAATCGATATCAAGCCTAATACTTAACATTACAAAACACTAACTTCAAAAAAATGGTGCCGCGCGACATTTTCTAATTGCCAACAAAAGTTTTGAAAGAAAAAGGCGCCCATCCGTTTACGCGATATTAGCGCATGTGCAAAGTGGCAGAGCGTCGCCTCCGAGCTGCTTTTTGCAAAGATTCGTCTGAAAATAAAAAAGTAAAAGAAGTAAAAAACTTTCGCCGATGAAACAATAAACAAAAACTTTATTTTCACGAGATCCCAACACCGATAAATCACAAAAACGGAGCATTCGCGATTGAAATCATCACAAGATTTTTAGTTAATTTTAAATCGGGGTTGCTTAAATTTTCTTGGTCTTCTTCTCGATTTTCGGCTTCTGCGCGGCCTTCGGTTTTCGCACTTTCTTTTTGCCTTCCATCTCCTTGCGTTCGCCGTCCCCGTCCTGCTGCTCCTCAGTCGCCTTCAACGTCCTCTTCATCTTGAGCTGTCGCGGCTCCTTCTTTTCCGTCGTCTTCTGCGGCGGCCGCGGCGGCTAAAACATGAATTAAGTGACTCGATCTTATCAATTCAGTCGCTCCTAATGCTAGCAATCAAAATTTGCCACCTTGAGAGGATTGACCAGGTTCATCTGAACCGCGCGATCCCATAGACATTTGCGGCACGATCCTAGGATAAGATAGTTCCGGGCGTGAAAATAAAAAAACCCACGATCGATGGCGACTTCATCGCCCTCCCAGGTGCAGCTCCTGTAGATGCGGCAAGTGTACGTGTCGTTGCACTCATCGTCGGGGCTGCGGCGCCTAAAGTGAGTTGATTTTTAGAAACTTAATCACGTACTCAAGATGGTGGCGACAGCCGCCGCAAAGCAGAGAATCGGTTTCGCCCCTCAGCTTCTCCTCGGTCGTCTTGAAGCCGCACAACTTGCACTAAACCGGGGGTATATGCAGAACCAGGAAAAAACCGACGTGCAGACGCGGATCCCGGCCCGCCGCGGTGTGGGCCAGCGACGTGCTCATCTCAGCGCCGTTCACGAAGATGTCAAGCACGAGAAAGCTGACGTCGGCTTGAAGACCTGACTTGAAGTTGACGAGATCGGGCTTCCTGAAAGTACAAAATCAGTAGCGACGGAAAAGAGCTATTTGAAAGGGTGGTTACTTGCCGCAGCCCCCTCCCACCGCTTTAGACGCAAACCCACCCAGAAAGCTGCATTCTCACTGCCCAAACCAAGCCATATCGGATTGTCGTGAGCTGCTCGATGGTCTGGGCCACTGCCTTCACGCCGGTCAGCGATTCGACCATTGCCACGACTTGCATCTCGGGGATCTAAACAGCATTGAGGTCAGAATGGGTCTGTATTCACTTTACCGTCTCCCGCTCGCCCAATATGCACACATCCATCGTCGTCAATCCGATCACCAACTTCGGCTCGTCGGAGTTCGGCACTTCGCTCTGGATCTATAAAAGCAATGAAAGATTATAATTCTAAGCCAGGGCTAGCAAAACAGCAAAACCTACCACTTGCACGTGCTTCTCTTGCAGCACCTCCCGGCAATGCTCAACCAGCCAGGCGTTGATGGCCTGAGAGAGGTTTTTGAGAGAGAGAGAGAGAGACCAGACAGACAGACAGGCAGCCAGACAATGTTCTCAAACATTCACCTTGTGCTTCTCGTCTCGACCTCCCAACGTCTCCACCAGGCGCTCGACAGACTCCCAGATGCCGTGGTCGCGGAAGTTACATGACGAGTTCTTGGACGAGTCTTTCTGTAAAAAAATTAAAAAATCAAAATCACTAAAGAAGTTTCATACCTCCAGCATGGTTCTGATGAGCTGAACCGTGGCAACAGCGAGGTGGGCACGCTGCGGGGTGTACGCCAGCGCGTCTTTGATCAGCGAAACGAGCATCACCGGGTTGGCATACTCCGAATCCTCCAACAGCTCGAACAAGTCGACGTGGTGACAGGGGAGGAGGAGACGGACGAGCACGCGGATGACACCAAAGTGGACGACCTGCAAAGGACCGTTTAAGGTGAGAAAAAACGGAGATTACAGACGAATTCAAGTCGTTCAAGCTACCTACCGGGTCGGTGACGCTAGCAGCGACAGAAACGAGAGGAGCTGTGAGCAGAGCGCAAATCTGGTCGAAAGGACGCTCCTCACTGGACGTGCTCGGCCAAGCAGGTTGATGCTGACGGCGATGAGTGCCAGCTAAAAAATTGAATTTATAGTTTTAAAAGGGGCACGTACTCTGATTGACGATGTGCTTGTCGATGTCGAAGATGCTGGTATCCGGAAGCGCTGGCGCCAATTCTCCACACATGTAGATCAGCTCCCGCAGGTCGATGAAGCTGTTGATGGCCCTTTTCGACGACAACGCGGACAGCAAATTGGCGATCGTGCTCGTGGCGCCGACATGGTGAAGCTTCAGCGCAAAATCGCTGCTGCATCCCATCAACAACCGGACGGCAATGAGCAGCTCCGTGGTGGCCGAGAACTTGGTGGTGACCTCGCGGAGCACGTTGACAATCTTGCACGCCAGATCGTACTTCTGGTCGAGGACGGCGTTGACGAAGCTTTCCTCCTCGTACAGGTTGCACACGATGCGGGAGAAGGCCGCGCAAGCGGCGTCGCCCATCTTGCTGTCGGTGTCTAGAAAAAAAAGGTTTTTCGGCGCCAAGAAGGTCAGATTTGAAAGGGAGCTAAAAACTTACTATTCAAGTTGTCGCAAATCTTTCTGAACGCCTCGGTGACCTGGTCGAGGTTGTCCGGGGTGGCATACGAGGCGGCGTTGGCAACGACTTCCATGGCCAAGCACTGGGCGTGCTGATTGTAGAATGGAATCGGGCGCAGAACACCAGAAAGGCCGCCCTGAAAAATCCGATAATTTTTTGAGCTAATAGACATTGAGGTCTCAAAAATTAGTTCAAGTTATCGAAAAAACCTACCGCTTGCACGATGTTTCGTCCGTATTTCCGGCTGAGGATCAGCAGCGGCTTGAGCGCCGTCTCGTAGAGGTCAACGCCGAACTCCTCCCTGACGTCTTGCATCAGGGTGATAAGCAGCGGGATCGCATTGGCGGCCGCATTGTGCGAACTGTGACAAGTGTGGACCATATACTTGTAGCATGTAGCAGCCTCGAACTTCTAAAATTATGGCGATTAAATTTAAAACACTTTTATAAAACACTGACATTTTATTTCAGCAATTTGCTCCTTTATTATTTTATTTTATTTCAGTAATTTTTTAAATCGTTTCCCCAACAATTATCACGTTTTTATATGTAAATCAGGGTTCTGGTTCGTTAGGGTGGAAGGGGGAACTAGCAATAGACCCCCAAGAAGTCAATTAGCAAAGGGAAAGCGGAGTGGGCGTGGCTCGCCCCCCCCACTAACGAACCAGAACTAAATAAGTTGTCGGATAATCAAAATCAAGAGTTTCGTTAGCGATTTCTTTCTACCATTACCAACCATCTCGTGGTCGTTGTCTGTGAGCCCTTCCATAATCGCGTCAACGATGTCGACAAAGGTGATGTTGAGTGCGCTGAGATCGTCCGAATCGAGGAAGTGGCGGCCCAGCATTTGCATCGCTTGACGAGTTTTCAGTTGTGCTCCATCCAAAAGACGTTTTCCGAGATCTAGCGGAAATCTTGGATCCTTGACGGCCGGGGCGTAGATTGCTGGAAAGAATAGAGATAGATATCGACATTTTCATATAAAAGTCAGTCGTTCATTTTTTTCCGAAATTTCAGCACACTTGTCCCGCCAAAATCCGGTGCCGGACTGTCTTTTTTGTGGTTTTGCGTCGGTTTGCTGGGTGGCAGCTATTGGCAGTTAGGTGCTAGTTATCTAGCAACAAAAACCAGTTATCTTTGTAATACATAGTTTTCGTGGGCTAAACGTGGTAGAAATTTCTCAAAATTCCAGAATTTTGCGCGTCGTATAAAGGAAATCCCCCCATCTAATATCCGAGCATACATAAGGAAATCCGTCAAAAATGTCACCGTCCAGCCTATGTTTCAAGAATGAGGGTCACCCACGTTTTGCCCTTTCCTGCTGGACGAGCTGGCCGGTGCACACAGGTCGATCGGCGTCGGCGACCGCCGGGTTGGTGTTATTGGGAGGAGGGGGTGCGCGTGCCGTGAGTTCCTGGAATAAAAAAAATTAAATAAATTCGCAATGCAAAGCAATTGTTGACAAAGCAAAAGATCAGATTTAGAGGCAATCAAAGAAATATAATATATTTTCTAAATAGCAATATAAGGAAACCCTTCCAAAGCCTCAGTTTCCAAACTTACAAGAAAACGCGCCATTTTTTCAAACCGCAATATTTTTTCACTTATACCAAGAGCGTGTAACACATAAAAATAGCCTCGGCTATATTGAAGTGATGAAACTATTCCAAAATTCTTAGAAATAGTTTGAGGTCTTGGAATTCTGAGCGAAATTCATCTTGGTTTCAATGAAATTGAATGATTTTTGCTTGTGATATTAGGAAATTATCATAGAATGCAGCTATTGCACTGGGTTCCAAGTTTTTTTCGCGGCGCCAAGGTACTTGGAAAAACGGCTAGGAAAAGCCTGAAAGAGCCGCAAAGCGAACTCTCAAAAAAGTGTGAGGGGTCAGAGGCCTTTGGTGAATTGTTCCTTTATTCATTATTTTTACCTTTTGGTTGCTGGAGAGGATCGGTGCAGCCTTCCTTGTAATCTTCGAGGGGATCGGTGGCGTCAACTGGAATGCAAATCGCGCAATAAATAAGAAGCACGCACACCTAACTCAGCCAACTAAAACACGAGCAACAACCCACTTTCTCAGCCAGCACGAAAAGCCCGTGGCCGGGAGGACAACTGAAGTAGCGCGTACCCATCACAGTCCCGTTGTTTCGGCCTTTCTTTTCGCCGAGTTGTAGTCCGGCCCATGTCCCTTCTGCGAAACGAACCGCGCCGAGGAAACGGATCTTGGCCTGGGTGCCCGCTGCAAATTCTCGTTAAAACACGCTGCCAACCGAGCAACGAACTATTACAGGTTCAAGCCATCAAAACCGACCGTATGAAGTCAGGTCTCCGACAGCCCAGTGCGCCATCCCCACACTCGAGCCTAAACCAAAGACATTACAGTGAGCCAACTAAACACATTTTTCTGTATCAGGTTGCACTAACTGTAAAGCCTTTTTACTCAAGTTGGGGTTTCGATTCGGGACCAAGTGCATCTTGTGCATAATTTTTCCGTGATTTCGAACGCGTTTTCCAAATTTGCTGCCGACCTTTATTTAAAAAGCTTCAAAAAGCCAAAAATTCGGATCCTGACCCACTATTGCCTGCTTGGTTTTATGGTATTGCACACTAAAAGAACCATTAAGCTACAGACCGTAAATATTGCAACTAGACCTCCCGAACCCCCCTTACCCCCATTGGCTTAAAGCCCACGTTCAAGGACGCGCTGTGACAGGCCATTCCCCTCCTTTGCGGGGTGGGGCGCCCCTCGCCCCTCGCCAGGTTGTAGCTGTGGCTGACTGGTATCCAACCGCGCCTCCAGAGCGGGGGCCCTGGTTCGACGTTCGGCCGCGGCAAAAATCTTTGCTTTTTTCCCAAAAAACGTCCCTGACCGTGCCCTTTAAGTGCAGTTTACCCCCCAGCCCAGCTCCTCAGCCATACGTTCTATTAATCGCCGAGTATCTCAAAATGTTCGCCGTTGTCGAAAACCTCTAAAATGTTGTTTCCTTACGGCAAAAATTGTTAGAAAATTTTTTACATGATTTTGAAAGTTGAAAAGATTAAGCCGTTATGATTCGATGTACCAGAAGTCAAAAACTCAAATATTTTTGTTTTCTGCTATTTTTTTTCGACCCAAACGTTCTGTAAGCTTATTCTATAGAGCAAGAGCTACATTTTGGTACCATTGACAGCGCCGTACGTCAAAAGATCGCCGAGATACGAAAACTCACTTTGGAACAGCAAAAATTAACTAAAGAAAACCCAGAATTATAATTGTTATAAAACATTTTTTTACAATTGTTGTCGCAAGTAAACAACTTTTTTAGAGGTTTTCGACCACGGCGAACATTTTGAGTTACTTAGCGCATTCATCGGACGTATGGCTGAGGAGCTAGGCTGGGGGGGGAAACTGCACTCTTACCATAAAAAGCGTTTTCGAATTGTTTTTAGTAAGTTTTAACTATATTTGAAGCAGAAGAACTTTTAGAAAAATTTAGAAAAATGTTTGAAAAAGTCGAAAATTTGGTCATTTTGGGTCTTTCCCCCCCGCCCATCCTAAAGGTTCTATAGGATTGTTCGACCTAATTTTTATTTTTTAAATTTTTTTTGCTTAAAATATGTGTAGTTTTTATGCTCAGGAATAGTTAAAAACAATTTAGAAACGGATCCGCAATTTATAAAAAAATCTAGGCTTGTGCCCGGGATACCTTCCCCCGGGAATCCAAAAACATAAGTATAATAAGTGTATTTAACTTAAATTTTTTGCATCGAACCCCCGAAAAACCCACTAAAACCCCCCCAAAACCCCGCAAAGCCCCAACCCGAACCCCCTAAGTAGGGGGATAAAGGGGGCCGGGTTCGGGAGGTCTAATTGCAACTAAAAGAGCAACCACTTACCTAGGTACCTGCCGAAAATACAGAAGAACGAATACGAGAAAAACGACCATAGGTTCATCCCTTTATACCTAACTCCAGATGCAAAGCATCGATTCCGAAATGCTTCGTAACTATGCAAATTGAGAAAACTATGATCGCAATGGTATCTATTATCTTCTGGATCTAATCTGGTATTAGGAAGACGACGTCTTCTCGCTCAATTCACAAATTCTACCCCATTTGGGCTTCGTGTTTCCTGCCCCGGTTCTTTAGGATTCCGGGGGGGGGAACCAATTTTTTTTCCTGGTGGTCCCGGTTGACCTAGTAATCAAATATAAATGGCTTAAAGCGCACGTTCAGGGAGGGGCCGTATACTCGTCCCAACGTATACACCCTATGGACGTAAGGACAACGCGCACTGCCTGCCCGTGCTGTGACAGGCCATTCCCCTCCTTTGCGGGGTGGGGCGCCCCTCGCCCCTCGCCAGGTTGTAGCTGTGGCTGACTGGTATCCATCCGCGCCTCCCGAGCGGGGGGCCCGGGTTCGATCCCCGGCCGCGGCGAAAATCTTGGTTTTTTTTTGAAAAAACCGTCCCTGAACGTGCCCTTTAAGTGCAGTTTACCTCCCCCTTCCGCAGCCCAGCTCCTCAGCCATACGTCCGATTAATGCGCGGAGTATCTCAAAATGTTCGCCGTGGCCGAAAACCTCCAGGAAAAGCCGCTTCGCGACTTTTGAACCCTGGCCCCGTCTTGAACAGCATGCTGTTCTACGCTTTGCATAATTGCGCTGAATTCAGATGACAAAAAATGAAAATCATCCACTTCTGACCCTTTATATAGACGACTACCCACTTCCGGTCAATGCTAATTTTTTCCTAGCGAAGAGGGTTTTACAAAACTTTAAATTTTATACCGAAAATGGCTGATTTTTATAAATCTGATGTGGGCAGTCATCCCTAGACCATTACGCACCTAATGACATACCGTACCCACCCCTAACCTCTTCCCCTATGGAGATACAACTGGAACAACGATACGGAAGTGGATGCAAAGTGGCAGACACACAGACAGGCTTAAGTGCAGTTTACCCCCCCAGCCCTAACTTTTCAGCCATACGTCCTATTAATGCGTGGAATATCTCAAAATGTTCGCCGTGGTCGAATTACTATAAAAAAGTCCTTCCCTATATACCATATACCTACCTATATACCAGCGGGGGAGGAGCCGCTTCGCGACTCTACCCCGCTGGACCCCGCCTAGGCCCTATGAATTGAGCGCCCTTCCACATAACGTTAACTTGAAATGGCTTCGCCTTGCTAGCTCCAAAATTTCTGCCCCATATGGGGCAGCAAGAACGAAGCCGACTTCAAATGGCTTCGCTTTGCTAACTCGAAAATTTCTGCCCCATATGGGGCAGCAAGAACGAAGCCGACTTCAAATGGCTTCGCCTTGCTAGCTCCAAAATTTCTGCCCCATATGGGGCAGCAAGAACGAAGCCGACTTCAAATGGCTTCGCTTTGCTAACTCGAAAATTTCTGCCCCATATGGGGCAGCAAGAACGAAGCCGACTTGAAATGGCTTCGCTTTGCTAACTCGAAAATTTCTGCCCCATATGGGGCAGCAAGAACGAAGCCGACTTGAAATGGCTTCGCTTTGCTAACTCGAAAATTTCTGCCCCATATGGGGCAGCAAGAAAGAAGCCGACTTGAAATGGCTTCGCTTTGCTAACTCGAAAATTTCTGCCCCATATGGGGCAGCAAGAACGAAGCCGACTAAATGGCTTCGCTTTGCTAGCTCCAAAATTTCTGTGGCTTCGCTTTGCTAACTCGAAAATTTCTGCCCCAGATGGGGCAGCAAGAACGAAGCCGACTTCAAATGGCTTCGCTTTGCTAGCTCCAAAATTTCTGTGGCTTCGCTTTGCTAACTCGAAAATTTCTGCCCCAGATGGGGCAGCAAGAACGAAGCCGACTTCAAATGGCTTCGCTTTGCTAGCTCAAAATTTCTGTGGCTTCGCTTTGCTAACTCGAAAATTTCTGCCCCAAGTCGGCTTCGTTCTTGCTGCCCCATATGGGGCAGAAATTTTCGAGTTAGCAAAAGCGAAGCCACAGAAATTTTGGAGCTAGCAAAGCGAAGCCATTTGAAGTCGGCTTCGTTCTTGCTGCCCCATATGGGGCAGAAATTTTCGAGTTAGCAAAGCGAAGCCACAGAAATTTTGCTAGCAAAGCGAAGCCATTTGAAGTCGGCTTCGTTCTTGCTGCCCCATATGGGGCAGAAATTTTCGAGTTAGCAAAGCGAAGCCACAGAAATTTTGGAGCTAGCAAAGCGAAGCCATTTGAAGTCGGCTTCGTTCTTGCTGCCCCATATGGGGCAGAAATTTTCGAGTTAGCAAAGCGAAGCCATTTGAAGTCGGCTTCGTTCTTGCTGCCCCAGATGGGGCAGAAATTTTCGAGTTAGCAAAGCGAAGCCACAGAAATTTTGGAGCTAGCAAAGCGAAGCCATTTGAAGTCGGCTTCGTTCTTGCTGCCCCATATGGGGCAGAAATTTTCGAGTTAGCAAAGCGAAGCCATTTGAAGTCGGCTTCGTTCTTGCTGCCCCATATGGGGCAGAAATTTTCGAGTTAGCAAAGCGAAGCCACAGAAATTTTGGAGCTAGCAAAGCGAAGCCATTTGAAGTCGGCTTCGTTCTTGCTGCCCCATATGGGGCAGAAATTTTCGAGTTAGCAAAGCGAAGCCACAGAAATTTTGGAGCTAGCAAAGCGAAGCCATTTGAAGTCGGCTTCGTTCTTGCTGCCCCATATGGGGCAGAAATTTTCGAGTTAGCAAAGCGAAGCCATTTGAAGTCGGCTTCGTTCTTGCTGCCCCATATGGGGCAGAAATTTTGGAGCTAGCAAAGCGAAGCCATTTGAAGTCGGCTTCGTTCTTGCTGCCCCATATGGGGCAGAAATTTTCGAGTTAGCAAAGCGAAGCCACAGAAATTTTGGAGCTAGCAAAGCGAAGCCATTTGAAGTCGGCTTCGTTCTTGCTGCCCCATATGGGGCAGAAATTTTCGAGTTAGCAAAGCGAAGCCATTTGAAGTCGGCTTCGTTCTTGCTGCCCCATATGGGGCAGAAATTTTCGAGTTAGCAAAGCGAAGCCACAGAAATTTTGGAGCTAGCAAAGCGAAGCCATTTGAAGTCGGCTTCGTTCTTGCTGCCCCATATGGGGCAGAAATTTTCGAGTTAGCAAAGCGAAGCCACAGAAATTTTGGAGCTAGCAAAGCGAAGCCATTTGAAGTCGGCTTCGTTCTTGCTGCCCCATATGGGGCAGAAATTTTCGAGTTAGCAAAGCGAAGCCATTTGAAGTCGGCTTCGTTCTTGGTGCCCCATATGGGGCAGAAATTTGTTAGCAAAGCGAAGCCATTTGAAGTCGGCTTCGTTCTTGCTGCCCCATATGGGGCAGAAATTTTCGAGTTAGCAAAGCGAAGCCACAGAAATTTTGGAGCTAGCAAAGCGAAGC